AATAGGTATGGTTCATTACCTTTTTTCTTATTTTATTTCTGATTTTAAATTTTTATTTCCTCCATTTATTTGTATCTTCAAATCTTTTATTTTGTCTTATTTCTATTATATGATATATATACACACACACACATACATTTAGATTTGATTTATTTTAAAAAATATTTGATTTATATATTTTTTACATATATTTAGTTAAGTTGGATATTTGTTAAGCATAAGTTCAAGAGATCTCAAGTGTATATGTATTTTCAACGTATATTTAGTTTATGTTCTAATTAATAGAAAGCAACTATATATATGTTAAAAGTATGTTAAAAATAAGAACTAATAAAAGGCAAATGGCTATGAAAAATTATGCTTTGTTGTTCAATCAAATATATATATAAATTATTATTATTATTATTATTATTATTATTATTTGATTTTTTATTCATTTTTATAAGATTCAATAATTTAAAAATATTCTACTAATATAAATGTCTTTCACAATTTAATCAAATTATATATTTTTTCATATTCATATCAACATTATCCTAAAAACAATTATTAATCTTGATCATTCAAAGATTGAACCTTGTTTTTTGATAGAACAAGAAAGAAGCGATAGCAAAATTTTCAGTGTTTAGCAAATGAATTGAAGAAAATAAATTTTTTGATGAAAAAAATTTATAATTTTTTAAAAATTTACGAAAGCTTAGGCTTTGAATGAGTATTTCAATATGTGTAACTTGTCATCTAGTTTTTTTTTTTTTTTTTTTTAAGATAAAACTGTCATTTAGTTGTACATTAGCATTTATGAAAATACTATTATATATATATATATATATATATATATATACACACATATAGTATATCAATAAAAGTTTACATATTCTTTTATTAAGATAATATAAAAAATTACAGTTTATTAAAAATAAAATTACGAAAAATATTATAAAAGAATCCTTTACATGGCATGGGTTAAAAAAACCTAATTATATTATATTATAGAATACAAGGTTATCTAATAAGGTCGCTTATATGAACGTTTATGTGAACATTTTCTCTTAATGACACATAAAGACAAAACCTAATAAAATCTACTTACATGAACAATTATGAGGATATCTCCTTAATAACAAAAGCTATAATTCAAATATTTCTCTTTGAAAAATGGAATTTCTAATAATCTAGATATATCTTTTTTTTTTAATTTAAAAAATATATAATTTAGTTATGTTTTGGATTTTTTAACAATTTGGACATATCATTTTTTAAAATTTGAAATTTTTAAATATAATTTCTATTTTTAAAAAAAATTCCCTTGGACTCTATCTTCCACCTCAATGAAGTATCTCATGCTGAATTTCTCCAATTACTCATTTAGTCTATTGCTTACACATACATTTGCCTATGGTTATACATGTACCTGCATCAAGCAAATTATCATTTTCATCTCTCTCTCGTTCATTGCCAATTACATGTATTCTTTTTTTATATGAATTTTTTAATGTTTTGATTCCTATCAGTTGTTCGGTCGATTGAGACGGATGTTATAATTAAGAAAACACCTAACCTAGAGTTTTGAGGCTCTTCATCGAATATTGGCAATTAATATTCCCTCTTGAAAATGATCAATATGACAACTTTTCTGACCAACTTTGTTTTACATTATTAGTAAAAGTTATTGTTTGCCATTAAACTATGAGATTTCTGTGCTACAATGGCCTCTTTTATTACATTAAGCTAGGGAAATCGGAGCTTCAAAATCAAATATTCCTTCAGACATAGTTACAGTTTTATCAGGAAATACGTGACTATTATATAAACTTGTTAATGGAATTCAAAGATCTGAGGATCAATAACAATTCATGCACAACATATAATCTAACGTAAATACACCCTATAGTCTCTAAATTATTGACACATGGCACCTTCAGAAAGCTAAAATCACAGATTCTTCCATCCTCATTTATTACGGTTTCAAATTTTTTTTTTTTTTAAATATCCAAAAAATTCGTTGAATCTTAATAAAAGCACTAGAGTAATGTTCACGTTAAGGGTTCCAATGGAGTAGGCAAGATATATTAATTTTATATCGATAAAAAAAGATTGTTGAGTATATAAATATTAACGTTGTATATATAATAAGTCAATTTTATAATAAAATGATAATAATTACGTGATAAATAATATTCAAATTAATTTTTAATTTGATTTTATGTTAAATGATTTTATTAAATAAACAAAATAAATCAATTTAACTACTTAACAAAATATTAAGATAAATTAAATGATAGAGTCTGATCATGTCAAAACATTTTATAAAAAAGATATAAGATACCAATAATGATAAAAGTGTTATAAAATTGAGTGAAAAATAATATCACGTCAAGCATCCTAAAAAAATAAATAAAATATTTTAATCTCGCATCAAATTAAAAAAAAAAAATAGTTGGACCTATGAGTACTAACAATACACACCCCAATAAGCCGAATTTACGGAAAAAAGATAATCACCATATGACAGAAGTTCTTTCCATTATTCTTAAAATGCTTAGATCTTTTTTACTTCCTTATCCTCTGATCATCGGGTTCAATTTCTTAATTTTTTCAAAAACAATGTTAATTCATCTCTCACACTTCTGGCTCATTTGGAACAATAATTAGCTCCGATTTGACGTGATTGGTACCTCCAATCGTGTCATATATGTGTTTGGCTAACAAACAAAGATAGCACAGTGGAGAGGGTTTTAAACATGTAGGACCTCCAGTGACCAACTGGAGCCTCATATGTCCAGTCAGTAAATGCACTATTCTTTTTCTTTCTTTTTTTACCTTTTTATCCTTAACAATTATATTATAAAAATAAAACTATCCTTACATTTCAACCTTTTTTTTTCATTTAAAAATTTTAAAATAATTTTATTAATTTACTATAATCAAAAATTATCTAATATATTACTACTTTTATTAATTTTTATTTATTTAGTAATAAATTATTATTTGGACAAAAAATAATTTGATTTTTTTTAAATAATTTATTAATTTTATAAGTATTAAATAATTAAAATTTTTTATTACATATAATTTTTATTTTTATATTTTTAAAAATTATTTTTTATTATAATTTATCTTATATTTATCGTTATGTTTACGAATAAATATATTTTTTATTATTAATTTTAATTATTACTATAATAATTAATTTTGCATCTATTCCAATTTTTAATTTCACCATTCATAGACTCTTAAAGCCTACTCGATAACAAATTGATTTAAAAGCCCTTTTATCCTTCTTATTCATTTTGCTAGAAAAGTTTTTAGCTTTCAAAAAATTCTTATGAAAATTTAAAATAATCTGAAAGATTGTACGAAACATCATAAAAAAAAATTTCCTACCTTTCCTCTCCCCCGTTTCCCTAACAAAAGCTACCTGCTTCTTATCGATCCCTTTAAAAAACAACTCAAAGGATATTTGAAAAAATTGAAAACAGGGATTTTATCAGTGGGTATGAGAAAAGACAGAGGGAAGTGGATTTCATTCTTGCTTGTACGAAAGCTTATCTGCTGGATCCTTGGCTCCCAATTCATGTAAACTTTTCTTTTTTTTTTTAAAGATACTTGAAAATAACACACCTATCCCTTTCTTTGCAATCAGTATGTTTTTAGTTTTGTATTTGCCTTCTATTTTAAGTTCCGGAGGTGACTGCTGGTGTTCTTCTTTAGTGCATAAATGTATTGAAAATGAACATTTGTTCATTTGGTGCTGTAAATGTGGTGTAAAGTAAATTCTTGGAATTTCATATGTAGGTACTGGATCCTGTATTACATTGATGCTGGTAATAGGGGATTCTAGATTTTGTAGTTATGTCTTACAATTTGTGCTGTGATTTCAAAGTTTTTCTATTTACCTTTGGTACATCAGAAGGGGGAGACAAAAAGGTTAAGGAGCCAGAAAGGCATGCCCTTCAAGTATCAAGTTTTTTCTTTACTATTTTGCTTAATTCATTCATTGATTAGTTATTAGCAAAGTAAGTTATACGTTGAAATTTTGACCTTTACGGCTGACAGCCTGGCGCCTTCTCTATTCTCATGAGCCTGACATCTCTAGGCTCCAGATCCATGCTCCACATTTTAGATTCTAAAAAAATTGGTTTTGCTTATTTAAAAATTTAATTTCAATCAAATTAATGATCGAATAAATTTAATTTAATTAATTAATTGATAATTAAATTAATTTTGACTGGTTTATTAAAAATAATTTTAAAAAATTTTACTTTTCTATTAATTTGATTTAAAAATTAAATTAACTAAAATTTTAATTTAAATAAATAAAATTTATATATAAAACTAAAAATATATGAAATTATTTATTTTATTTTAAGTTATTAAAATTTTTAATTTAAAATTTTGATGACTAAATATTATGTTTGACAATTTTATCTAATTTGTTTCGTTTATAAAAAAATAGAATATAATTTAATATATTTATTATTTGATTAATTAAAAATTTATTAAACCAATTAAATTAATTTCAATTGATTAATTTTTAAAATTAAAAATTTTAATTTAATTAAAGAAATAATATATTATAATTAATTTAATTTAATTTTAAATAATTTGATTCGAATCTCAAAATAAGAAAAAAATATCTAGCTTCTAAATCCGTGTCTTCTTATTTGCTGATTCCATGACTGCCATGTCAGTGTCGGATAAGAAAAGTTTTGATTTGCTTGAATTCCAAATGATGATGAGAGAAGTTGAGGCCTTGCAGGAATTATAGAAAGTGATGGGTGAGATGAAGCTGATAAAGGTGGACAAATAAAAAATTGCAACAAGACGCAAAAAATTACTTAGTATATTTTAATCTTCACATTTTGAAGAATAAGAAGAAAAATTATTGTAATAAAAAGGTGGTAGAGTTCTTAATTTTACAAATAAAATTAGAAGATGAACACATATTTCATTAGAATATATATATTTATATATATAAATTAATTATTAAATGAACGTAAGAAAATCCTATAACCATTCGCTTTCGATACTTATAAAATAATAAGAGGAAAAATTTAATCAGAGAAAGATTGGAAAAAGAAAACCAAGAAGTAGACAAAGGCCCAGCCCGCGATTCACTTATGGACCTTTCGACCCAGAGCCTTTGTTTTTGTGGAATTCGGGAAAGCAGAAGCAGAAAGAGCATCTTCAAGAATGGCGACCATAGCAGCCGCAACACAACACCACCACCATCCAACATCGCTAGAGGAAGTCCGTACGCTTTGGATAGGAGACCTCCAGTTTTGGGTCGATGAGTCCTACCTCAACTCTTGCTTTGCTCACACTGGCGAGGTTCCCATACTTGCCCTCTCTCTCTCTCTATATATATATATATATAGACACACACACACACACACACACAATTTGTGTATCCCTCCAAAAGATCTCTGGGTTTTGTTCTTTTGGGTATTGGAATAAATTTTGGTTGTTGTGGGAATTTTTCTACGCTCTTTTTCTATAATTTTCAATCTATAAACTGGGATGTTGGTAAAATGTATTAAGTTTTATTGTGTTCTTAAAATTATCTTTTCTCATTTTTGTAATAGAAAAATTATAAATTGAAAGAATATCCTATCAATACATAAGTTCTATTCGAATTCTATCAAATTACTAACAAATCACTTATTGATTCAAGAAGCAAAAAATCACCATTTATGCCTCAAAGCTATCACTTGAAAATATTTTAGTAACACATGGCGTAGGAGGAGCATGTCCTATTTTTTTTTTTTTAAATAGACATCTGCAAAGGAATGTGACATGAATTGAATAGGGATTTTAGTGTGTGAAAGCAATTTGGCTGCTATTGCAAAACCTAGGAGGGATAACAGAGAGCTTTTCAATGAGCACGAGCACAAAGACAGAGCCGGGTTAAGAATCTGAGTAGTGCTTAGCTGTTTAGAGCAAAGAGAAGAGCTGTACTAGATTGTCAAGTGTAAGACCTGTTGAATTAATATTGATTAAAAATACGATGCAAGAAATAATCTGTCTTGGCTTCTACACTTTGTTTTATTAAATTAGGTTGCTCAAACCTCACTAGTTGTGCATTCACATCATTGATTTATGCAATCTTCAAACTTGTGAAGCTCTGGCCTCTGGTAAGTTTCCAAGCATTGTTTGCAAATATTCACAATAATTTGGTAAATTTAAAGGCCGGGTTGTATCAGATGTCGTCATATGCTAAAGTTTTATAATGTATTTGTTTCTTTTTCTATCTCAATCGTTGTATTTTTTTTTAGTAGATGTTGCCTTTGAAATGAACCATTATTTCCACTCTTTGCAGCTAGTCTCAATAAAAATTATACGCAACAAGATCACTGGCCAGCCCGAGGGTTATGGATTTGTGGAGTTTGTTTCTCATGCAGCAGCAGAAAGGATACTGCAGGCTTACAATGGGACAGCAATGCCTGGAACTGATCAAATGTTCAGGTTAAATTGGGCTTCTTTTGGCATTGGAGAAAGACGTACTGATCCCGGGCCTGAGCATTCTATTTTCGTTGGTGATTTGGCTCCTGACGTTACAGATTATCTATTGCAAGAGACATTTCGAGCTCACTATCCATCTGTTAGAGGTGCCAAGGTTGTGACTGATCCAAATACTGGACGCTCAAAGGGATATGGATTTGTTAAATTTTCAGATGAGACTGAGAGAAATCGTGCTATGACCGAGATGAATGGTGTCTATTGCTCAACTAGAGCCATGCGAATTAGTGCAGCAACACAAAAGAAGACCACTGGTTTTCAGCAGCAATATGCCGTGGCAAAAGGTCATATTCCTTTCATTAACTTTGACCAAAGGAAAACCATAGCCAAATTAATTTATTCATTTTCTGTTCTCCAAATTTGTGTTGTGCTTCTGTTTTGTCCATTGCCATGATATGGTTGCCCTCAATTTGATTGTGCTATCCATTGTTGCATTTTGAATATGAAGGTGCATGGCAAGAAAGAGGCATCACTTGATAAATTTACAATTGACTTTTAGGTATTCGTATTAAATCTCAAATCTACTCCAACATCTGAAATGCAGTTTTTCTTTTTTTTCTTTTTGTTTTTTTCTCTTTATGGTGGTTTGATGAAGCAGTAAAGCAAAGAAATTAATATTATTTTATACACCTTGAAGATCACACCCCTGATTTGTTGCATTGAGAATATTGTCTGACCATATATATTCATTAAATATTTTTTATCAATAAAATAAATGTCATACTTGTTTATAATTCTGACTCTGCGTGCAACTTTTTGTCCGGTTCCTTGGCAATTTAAAGTTATTTATTTATATTCACCTGGTTTGTTGTTTTAGTTGAGACATGAACATGATCTATATCAACATGCAGACTTGTTTGGGGTGGGTGGGCTAGGGAATTGAGTACCTGTGCCTATATCTGCGAGTACATTGCTCTTTGATACTGTATCCACATCAGATATTGCATACATGTATTTGTGTAGACTTACATGCAGATATGAAGGCAAGAAATTCTAAAATGCATTTACCCATGGTTTTCTGCAGCTGTATATCCAGCTCCTGCTTACACAACACCTTTGCAGGTGCTTCCACCTGATAATGATAACACTAATACCACAGTAAGTGAGGCATACGCAAGTTGTTTCTGAGATTATCTCTATCGCTTTGACTAACAATCCTATCTTTTGCAGATTTTTGTTGGCAACTTGGATCCAAATGTCACAGAAGAGGAACTGAAGCACTTCTTCTTGCCATTAGGGGAGATCATGTATGTCAAGATTCCTGCAGCCAAAGGATGTGGTTTCATACAGTTTGCAACTAGGTAAAGATCAAGCGAAACCATGATTACCAGTAACTTCTGGAAGTGTTCTCCACTTGGGTGGTGTTTGCTATGGGGTGATTTCCCCAAAAATCATGGTGATTTACCCATGGTGATTAGATCACCGTGTTTGTAAGCATTCAATGAACAAAGAGTGATCATATCACTGCCTTGGAAGGTGATCTAATTCTCATAAACAAGGGTGAAAAACTTTTATCACCAAGGTGAAGTAATATGTAAAATTAAAAATAATCAATGTTACCCATTTGATATGTGATGAATTAAAACTTGTTTTCTCTCAAAATTGTATTATTTTATATTATAAAATTTTTTATTTTTAAACTTTCATTATAACAAGTTCAAAAATAATGTGTGTTTTTTTTTTAATTTTTTAATATTTTATATATAATATAATATTTTTGTTTTTGTTATTATTTTAATAATTAGTTTTATTTTCTAATTCAAATATTTTTTACATTATTTATATTATAAAAACTAGTTTATGTATGAATATATATTTTTTAATTTAATAATATTTTATTATGAAATAAATAAAATATTACATATATTTTTATAAATTATTATCTTTAAACAATATTGAAATCATTAACTTGTGTAACTATTACAATATACATGGTTATTTTGGTATTTTCAAACAAAATGATATGTGACTTTTAGTAATATCAAATATATTGATCTTTAATTTCTAAGAATTAAAGATTGTTGACCAAACAAATTAATTCCAAATTAGGAGTGATAAGATCACCTTAGTAATAATATCATCTTGGTGACTAAATTACCATGGTGATCTTGAAAATGATACCAAATGCTACCTTAATGGTTTTGAGGGGTGGGTGTATGTTTACGAAATCATTTATGAGCCAGATTTTAGTTCATTACCTCTTTTTGTTTTTAACTTATTATTTAGATGATCTATTACAATTTTCTTTCCCATTAGTCAAGAGTTGCATAAAAATTAATGGAGGGAAATGAATGATTGAGCATTAGAAATAGTCAGGTGGTACTACCCTAGTGCCTCTTAATCCTCTTTTGTATGTTAGTCAAGCGTTATCATTGTCTTCTCTTTATCTGATCTGATGCCTAATAATTTGCCTTCTACTATTTTTGTCTGCAGGACATCTGCTGAAGAAGCTATACAGAGGATGCAGGGGCAAATGATTGGTCAACAAGTTGTCCGCATTTCTTGGGGTAGGAGCCCAACAACAAAACAGGTGATATTTCGCATATATCAAATTCACACTTTGATTTAGTTATATGGCAAAATGTTTTTAGCATTTTGATGCCCCATAGCATTGATTTATGTTTTATTTTGTTTCTTTGGAAAACTCCCCCTTCTAAAAATAGGGAAAAGAAAAGCTTTTATTTTTTTGTCAAAAATAGGATGAAATGGACTGGACGAATTTATACGGTAAAAGCTCATTTGTTGTCATATATATATATATATATTTGAATATTATTGTCATATATTTATTTGTGCAAACTGCTATTTCACTATATGTGGTTATAGATTTAGATGAATACAATTTCTGTGGTGAACCTTCTTTATGTAGATAGCTAGTTATGCTACTTTGCTTGACAAAATTTGGCATTACTTATTTTAGGACCTACCTGGTAGCTGGGGTACACAAGTTGATCCAAGTCAGTGGAGTGCATACTATGGTTATGGACAAGGCTATGATGTTTATGCTTATGGGGCTACCCAGGATCCCTCTCTGTATGCATATGGTGCATATGCTGGCTATGCACAATATCCCCAACAGGCAAAAGATTTTGACATATTAGCAGTGCATATAAAATTACTGCTGTTAATGTTGTCTCATAAAATGTTATATTTGTGTAGATATTTAGGAATAATTTTGCACCTTAGGTTACTACACTTGCAGTCATCATTTTCCAAATTTGACCATGTTGAAAATGAAAATAATGCAGGAGGAGGAAGCACTTCATTAAACCAAACGTTTGTTCACACTGCTATATTATTGATATAGTATCATTTAGGATTTTTTATAGAATCAAGAGAACCTTCCCCACATTTACATCACTGACTTTGGAAAGGCCCACATATGCAATGTAGCCACCGAAAAGGTTTGGAGTATATAATGTGACAGGCAGTTACCGATCTGAATGCACTAAAGAAAGTGAGGAACTTTCTTTAGCTGGCTGCATGATACTTAAAAAATTTCATGACTGGCTATTCTGAATGCCATTAGGAAGGTTATGGTAGTTTGCATGAAACCTCCAACTGCCTAAAATTAACTACTAGACTTGTGATTGATTTGCAGATTGAAGGTTCTCTAGAAATGGCAGCTATGGCAGGTGCTGTCCCGGCTGTAGAACAAAGGGAGGAATCATATGATCCATTGGCGACACCTGATGTTGATAAGTAAAAAGTTTCTCTCCTCTGGTTCTGTAATAAATTGTGGGTTAATTGTTTCTTGGATAATTAATCATGTCTGTGATTGTTATTGTTAGGTTAAATGCAACCTACCTCTCTGTTCATGGAAGTGCCATATTAGGCCGGCCCTTATGGCGAAGAACCTCCTTCATTTCGCCACAACCTTGATCCTCTACTTACCTGTCTCTGATTTATGGTGATCATCATTCTCGCACTTAGTTGATGGAATCTCCCCACAGGAGATGAATAGAAATGAGAAGGATTTCGGAAGCCTGATGTTTTCTACTCAGATTGGCACAATTGTAAAGCCCTGGAATGCCCTTAGGATGAATATTGACACATAATTGATTGTAGCTTTTTTCTATTTGTTTAACATTATTCCAGAGTTGGTACCTGTATGTTTTCTCGTGTAAATATGCTAATCTTACCTGGATAGGAGATTGAAACTCAAGTTGGTTTGACATTGTCAAGTTTTTCGTGGTTAAAGATTCAAGGTGCTTATACGAAATGTTTCAACTTGATAGTAAAAATGAACAAAAAAAAAAAACTGAAATACCTCACAAAAATACTGTCCATAACGCCAATTTAATCCATCCAAAAAATGTCTTCTTTTTTTTTTTCAAGTTTCTAAAAAAACTATCTTATGCAAGGCATGAATTGAAGCATAATCCACAACGACCCAAAAAAGAGCTCATCTCATGCCAAGGAGTTGCAGTGAGAGGGTCTGCTTTCCTCACTGTATTTCAAGTAATGAAAGGAACGTGTTTTTTTTTAAGAAAATAATCATGGAAGCAACTGTTTGGTGGGAAGTCTTACCTCTTGAATATATGTAAATGTATATATTGATTGCAGAAAACACCTGGTTTCTAAGAATCTTTAATGGAACTTGAGGCATCATTATTTGACAGCCCCAAGCCATAGCAATTAGCCCTTGTCATCCCATCAAAAGGCAAAGATAAATATGGAAAAACATACAATTGTAGGAACTAGTAACATAGTCAAGCCACTTAACAAAAATGGTAATAGTGACAGATAGAGCCAATAGCATAAGATACCCTATTATTTTCTGAATTCTCCCGATTCCATTTTATTACAATAATAAAAAACTCAGAAAAACAATTCATCTCAGCATTTTTCATATTGAAAAATGTAGCAATGCCTTGAATTGAAACAATTTTCTCTTCCAAATATCATACCTAAAATATTGCAATGACAGCATGATTGTGATTAAAATGTGTGAAAAGAAACGAGGATCTTAAAATGAGAACTAAGTCAAAACAGTAGCTATAAATTAAGAATTCAATGTAATTGCAGGCTTCTTGAATCATAGATACTTGGCCAACCATGGCAGATCCTTGCAATCTTTCAGGGCAAAAGCCACATCATCACTGCCATAGAGCAAAATGAATTGGGTTAGATGCAGGCTGCTCAAACATTTCCCAAATTTTTATGTAATTTGGTTATGCAATGCCAGTAATACTTTGATACATGGAACCCGATGATACATTTAACCGATGAAACAGGAAGATATTGCATCAATTACAAGGATAACAAAAGATGCAAACTAATTAGCGACAATGACCTAGGTAATTCAGTTTGAATAATTAGTCAAGGAGACTTTGAATGAAGGCAAGCACCCCTGTATGTCTGAAATCTCTGGAAACTCTTTAGAACTCAAAAATAATAAAAAAAAAAGGGATAGTGTCATTTATAGTGAAATATTTAACATGACACTTGAACTTTAAAAATCTCTTATGTGATTCTCGAATTATGAATCTGTTAACTAATATAATATATGAATTTTGACTAATTCATTTGGATTTTGTCATCATTTGACACATGGTACATTAGTTAACAGATTACTTGAATTATGTAATTTTGAAGCTAGCCTCGTTAGGGATTATAGGTTTACAAAATCATAATTTAAATACCACATTAGAGATTTTGAAAGTTCAAATACATTTTACTATAATTTATAAGCCATTCATGACATTAATCCAAAAAAAAAAAATTCATTGGCCCCCTAATACAGAACTCCAAAGTAAAGAATTAAAATGACCAATGAATTTGATGCGAATAGATCCTTATGATTGTAAGAACAGCCATTCTAATATCTAAAAGAAAATTACTAGTGATTTGTTTTAACAGTCCCATTTGTGCCCACGGCTTAATGCTCAAGTAAATAATTGCCCACCATCAAATAATGCTGAGTTGCAGGTTCAAATTGTAGAAAGACATTTATGTAATACAAACAATTTTCAATGATATTTGTTATCAGGAACATGCCCTAATTGCCTTTTGCTGAAAGTTTGCTAGAGAACTAACCTGGGAAAATTGAGCTGCAACTTCTGCAACCTGTGCCTATCTCCTGGTTCACATAGAATAATTCTGCATTCTCCAAGATTGCAGCTGACATAAAGAAAAAGGGATAAAAAAACAATTACATATGAGTTTTTTCCACACCCTTTAAGACATCCATTATCTGACCTATATAAACTCCTGTTGGTTTGATTTACTTAAAGAGCATACAAGTTCACAAAACAATTGGTACATGCATTCATCCATTCATCAATAAACTTGATTGTATTTTTACTTAATGGTTGCAAGAGAAACAAAATTATGATAATGAAAGCAAAGTGGAGTAACTTTTTCTCAGTACTTGGAAGTATTAGCGCTTAAAACAGGCTCCTATTGGCTTTATATTGACTAAAATGTGAAGTTCTTTGCCAATGCCAAACATAGTGCAGCTAACTATAAAATTCAATAGTAACATCAACATTCCTAAACAAAGCTTTAAAAAGCCGCAGCTTACAATGGGATTTGCACCATCAATGCGTAAAACTTCAAGGATCCCACAAATGAACATGAAAGCACAAATGTTGTCAGGCTAGTCCCAAAAGTTACATGTAAAACTACCATTTTATGGATGTCCCTTAACAAGTCAATAGAAGATGCTTACCCAACTTTCAGAAGTGTGTCCCAACCAGGAAATGCTTCTCCATTGCTTGTGCAGAGACATGAAACAGTCATTGCCAACTGCAACATTGAAAAAATCTTTTAGAAAATATGCACACGTAGAAGTTAACCATTGATCAACTAAGAACAGCGACAGGGCATAAAAAGAGCACCAATACATAAAAAACCTGGCTAGATTCGTTTCTTGTAGATATGTGTTATGGAATTAGGGATCCTGTTATGTACCATATCCAGTTTTACCTAGACTATGTTTTTCACTTATTGCTAATGTTTGGAGAAAAGCTGCTAATCTAAAACTGATGACAAGAGTTTTTCATCTTTGAGAAGGGCAAAACAAAGTTGATGTTAAACCACCTAAATATACAAATGGTTAGATATGCTGGAGGGGTAAAAATAATAATACTTGCTATACTTGAGGGAATGACACCTAAAGATTCTAGCATCAAAAGGCATAAAACTATAGAACTCATAATATTACCAGCACAGGAAGAAAATATCAGAGAAGAAATAAGCATAAGGTGTTGACCTTTTCAAATGTAGTTTCCCCCATCCCTGTTTTATAGAGCTCATAAACCATTGCAGTTAAGAATATTTTACTCAGTTTAGAACAACTTTTCATTACCTGCAAAAAATATGCATTAAGTTATTTCATAATGATATAAAATCAGTGATGCAATTACAAGTCCTTTTCTCATCCATGAATATAGAACTTATAATATCTAAACACTATTCAAAATAATGGGGGAGAAAAAGCCACACAACCAGCATCAAAAGTTCCTCAAAGATAATGTTCGGAGATAGTTTTGCTAGGCTTGTTTCATCATGTGATACTTGTGTTCCCTCATAGTCCACAACCGTTTTCCTGGTAACTTGATTCCTCATTAACTAAGTTTCCAAAGGCCCAAATGGTAGATATATTGCTTCTAAATCTGCATAAACTTTCTAGAAGTTTCAACAGCACTATAAACTTCAAAGTATGCCCAGATGATTAAGATGATTTCCTTTTTCCCCTGTCATAAATTTAACTTTGCTAAGGTGCAATGGCAAGAAGATATTTTAAGAAATCTATACTAATGAAATGTTCCAATATAACCTCACCATAACATCATAACAGAGTAAGATTGTGTTTCCTTTGACAAAAGTCCTAGCCTTCCATGACTAAATATATTATTTCCATTTCTAAATGCTACTTTGAGGAAATAGATTGTCTGCATCTCTTCCGGTCTACAAAGACTTCTAGGGATACAGTTAGAAGATAAACATCACAGTAAGAATGAAAACATGAATCACAGGGATTCACTAGACAACGTTCAGAACCATTGCTAATCACCTGCCTTGGAAGTGGACAAGAGACAAAATTATAACTAAAATAGCAATTTGCTGATATGATCTTCAACTTACTTGGACATGAGGTGCCTGGAACATTTCCTGAATGGCCGCATCAACCTCAGCCATAGTAACAATACCTTTCACAGGAGAATGGTAAAAAAAATATTTATTTAGTAATCAGAACCACTGCTGAGAACTGTGAGAATGCTACTTATGAACTGACATGTAAGCTAAGGTTAACATTAGTTATTCATCTAGAACAAAAATTGTGCAGCAGAAAGAGCAGCAGAGTATGCAATCAAAAAGCAGAAGAATCCATAGAAATATCCAGCAGTAAAAGAACTATGATGCCAATGGTAAATGAAATTTCCATAAGATGTTTATGTGTGGTCCCCTAAACCTAGCAAGCTAAACTATATCTTTTCATGTATATTAGAATCTGAAAACACAGTAATTGAAATTGTGCTAACAAATCTTTTACACACCAAGATGAATATCAAGGTCTCAACCCTCACTAACACAATAGCTTTATGAGATTATGCCCATTTGTAAAATCCAGAGATAAAGAACAAATTCATCACTCTAAATTTTCTGGTGGGACCAAAACAATTCTGTCCATAATCTATCTTTTAATTAATAAAAACAAAATCATACAGTCTAGTGCTGAAAGTGTTTGATTTTTTATCAGTATAACTAAAATAAATTTTATTTAAAAAAAATCTAAAGTATTTGAAAATTAAAAAAATAGAATAAACTCAAGCTTTCACAACCTTTATAACATAACATTTCCAAAAAAATACAGAAATTGTAATGAAAGTGCACAATAATAAATCATATAAGTGGACTGAACTTTTAGTTTACATATATTAGGATTAAAAGAGACTAGGGCCAACCATATATATGGACTATCAATAGAATAGCAAGTCAGAAACATGGTAGGCACAATCTGTTTAAGAGTAACATAAGTATCAAACATTTATGCAGTTCACAAAGGATATAAGTTTTAAGTTCCCATTATATACAAATTGATACATACTCTCAAGGATTTACATTTTTCCCTACAAAGAAAAGAAAAGAAAAAAAACCAGTTGTTTCTTTGGGTTCTCAAACAAATACAAGCATCTAGATACCCTTTATCCAAGCAATATGACATTATGAATTTTTTTATTTGTCTTACTCCATTTACTTAGCTCCAGAGACCAAGGTCCTTACATGATAGCCCCCACTTAAATGAACGAAAGTAATAAATAAAAACAACTAAATGTTTCTGATTGGCTTAATCTACCAATCACAAATATTGACTTAATGTGGTGCCTAAATAATTAAATAGAAATGGGCAAATACATTATAATAATGCATCTTAACTTTCTAAAACTTGGATTTTTCTGGCAACATTAGAAGAGATAATAAGAACAGGCTTGCAAAGGCTTTAGCAATTGTACTTCTCTCCAGTCCTTATCAAATGACCATGCAGATGCATTTAAGTTATGATTTGTCATGTTATATCAAGGAAACTTAGCATCTACCACCCTTATGATCAGGTGATGCCTAGATTATTGAGGGTCCTCTAATACAATGGTAAGATACCAAACACCTACTAAACAGTAACTGACAGTTTGACTGACCTCCACAATTTACATATATCATGGGTTAAGAATATGAGTGTATACATTGGCATATGCAAATATTGACATTTAAAGGTAAAAGTACCATCTCCATCTATGACTCCTATAAGTAAACTTACAGCACTTTAGGCATCATCTGTTGTAACGCACCACAAATGGCATTTCTCTGTATGCATGTGTAACAAGTGTCCAACACCACAGTAATGGCCTTACATTACAGTTCTAATCATTCTAGAAAGCTTATTTACCTGTAGAAGAATTCACAGTTGCAATTTGATTCTTGATATGATAATCAGATATTTCTGCTGCTCGCCTGCATATCTCTAGAGCACGGCGTGCATCCCCTGAAATAGCTGCTACCTGAAATATGCATATGACATACTTTAACATCAAATGGATGGTAGTACAACCTTGTAAAAATTTAAGAATACATCAATTTTAGTAGATGAAACCTAAATTTCACATAAAAATATAGCACACATACTAACCTTCCTTGAAGCAAATTCCACTGCTTGCTTCTCAAACGCATCAATTCCTTTCAAACGACTTGATATGATTTCCTGAAGTTGCTGATAATTATAGGGACCAAAGCAGAGTCTTTGAATACCCATTCGGCTTGAAATGCGAGGAAGTAACTTCTCTGGAAGATCCATTGTATTTGCTATTCCTAAATTTAAAGAGAAAGAATTCATATAGAATTGTTATTCTTGTCATCACCACTGTCAATTACCACTGGCCCCAGTGTTTCAAAATGCCCTATCAAGAAAAAACAACAAGTATACCTATAACAATTAACTTGGAATATGGCTTAGTAGGCCAGTCAAGAATGTTGTATAGGACCTGTAATTGAAAGAAAGGCATGGTTATGGAAGCTGCAATCTCTTTCAATTAAAATGAATAAACAGAAAGAACAGCTAGTTTGTATCATAATATGCACAAGTTACCGACTGGTTTCTGGTTACAAGAAGATCAAGTTCATCAATGAGTAGAATACAAGGTCGGTCATCCTCCTTGCCAATTTTCTTTCCATCTGAAAACCGATCATTCAGTAATTGAAGAGCCTTTTTCCAACTAACCCTATGTCCAGTTAATGCTTCATAGATAACCTATAAGAATATAGCATATAAATATCAAAAGGCAACCAGAGACACATTTGTAGAAAGGTGAACTATATCAAACTTGTAGTTAGTTTATTCTATATTACCCTGTAAATATTCTCAGGTGATGCCAACTTTAGACCATTAACCTGCACAAAACAGTAAGGTCTTATGCTTCCTGCATCAACTTCAGACTTCAAGTTCCTCATTACCGCCAGGACACTCATCGTCTGCGATTTCATGTGAAATAAATAGACCAAAAAAGTAAGTCTCCTTTTACATTCAAATCATCCTCAATAACAGATAATATCAGCAAATTTGGAATAAGAAGTAAATTTTGCTGAGCAAAGGCAACGGACTATACTTTGCCCGTTCCAGGAACACCATGAATATAAAGACAACGTCCAAGACATTGATCATCACAGATGGCACCTTTTATAAATGTCGTTATCTCTTCCATTTCTCTGCAGCATGCATATTTTGCGTTCAATGTCTCATAAGGAAAGTAAAAATAGAACAAGAATGCTATCAAGTCTCACATACTTATTCCTACAAGGTAAAGACTTTGGCAATGTTGCCAACAAAAGCGTTGCTTTTGCCCTTTCCAGCTCAGTCTGCTTGTGGCATCTCACATGCTCTGGGATTTTTTTGGCACCTATTTTTTGAAGACCAAAGAAACGGCCCTTCTGAGAGTTCTGCATCAATTAAATAGCTGTCTAAGACTCTTGGCAGCTGCCAAGCACAAAATTAAGAATGTGATATATCCCTACCGCAGCCAATTGATGAGTTGTGGACGGTCTGGCTTGTGCATTCCTTGTGTTTTCCTCTTCATATTCCATATCTTCATCTGTATCAGAATCAGCTTCCTTGCAAGAATTCCAGTCTTCATCGCTGCTAGCAAATTCACCATCCTACAAACAGGAAAATATACCAATTAATTTCAACACAATAATAGCCCTATTTAGTAATGTAAAACCGCTTAAATGGAAATTCAGTTTTCTGACTGCTTACTGCTTCATCATTATCAATCTCAGCTAGATGCTTGAAACAGTGCCAGTGAATATCATATTCATATTCGCATAGAAAAATATCATCCCCTTCATCATTGGCCTTGGCATATTCTTTGGGGCTCATGACATTACAATGCTTGATGATAGATTCCATCTGTAGTGCCAATAGTTAGAAATCTTAAGTAATGCTTTAAGATTCATTCAGTTTCAGTCAGCTGAAAATAATTATTCTAGAAAGAAGAATGTGAATAGAATGACCTCTTTGAATTAATTACTATGTAGAAGCTTGCGATGATAAATCTCTTCAACACTTTGTTTATATGTTCCCCTAAATTTGATGGCAGTCTCTTTCTTATTTTAACCAACTGTTTAATTTTTAAAACCTTACTGGTATCTTATTAGACTATTTACTTGACAGATGACCAAAACTAATTCTTATGGCTGCTGCCATCTCATCCATTGAGGCAATTTAGTGTGAGAGATATATCTAGAAGCTGGGTTGAATTATATGTGTCTAGCTTAGTCATAGACTCAACTCACCTAAGCCCTAGCCTCAACTTACTAAACTGCAAAGATGAAGTTATCCTATCAAATATAAGCAGAGAATTTCAGACTTGATTTTGGAAGGATGATTCGTTGGGTTGTCAAATATCTAGTTTTACTATAGAGGTTGGTAAGAACGCACAACATTACAATAGGCTGCAGAAGATGACCCCTCTATTGTGGATATCTACATATATGCTTCTGATCTGCTTTGGAGTAACAGCATCTAAACCTTATCAGTAACCAACATAAGTTTATAAGAGGCATTATATTAATTAAAAACACAAATGCAACTATAAAATTGTACTCAAGTAAGAAATTTATTCAAGAACAAACAAAAAAAGTGGTGATCATTTCACCTATCATATAATCAACCAGTAAAAGAAAATTCCCTAAAAACATCAAACCATTCACATCTTCCCACATATACAGTCATAGATGATTATTTCTCCTCTAATAATAGATTAACAATGCAAACAGTTATTATCCATAACCTCTATGTCAGCAAAATCATTTGTCCAATAAAGCTCCCTTCTCAAGTTATGAGGTTGTCTTCCACTTGCAGTCTCTTCTGGTATGATATACCAACGCCCTCGGAACCAATAGCTACCATCTACCTCTTTCCACAAACTGCACAAATCAACAAACAAAAAAAGATCATCTTGTTTTTATGGACATACATGATTAACCATGAAGACAAAATTGCAATCTGTTTTTAACCAAACCTCTGAATACGGGCAGCCCACAAATCACTTGCAAGGAGCTTCTCTCTTAAAGTCCTAACCCACTTCTTCCCCACTGGAGGCTTTGGAAACTCAACATCTTTCCCCAATTTCCGAGCCTGGCAAAACCCACAAACCCAATCCCCCTCGGGAACCTCTTTCAATGCTGGCTTCAAGCATTTCAAGTGAAATCCACCTAGACAATCATCACACTCAATCATCACATTCCTCCCTGCCTTGAAGCACACTCTGCACTCCTCCATTTCAGGAACCTCATCGTCCGAGCTCGCATCCTCTCTCCTCTTCACATAGACATCATCTCCCACTTCAAACTCACCCTCATCATACACCACTTTCTTATAATAAACCCTCTTCTTCTCCTTCTTCTTCTTCTTGGAACTCCTTGTCTCCATAGCTCTCGTCACCGCACTTTTCTCTTCCCCCCTTTTCCTCTTCTTAGTCTCCAGTGACATTGGAGAAAACGTAACCTGAACCTCAACCGTTCCCTCATCCAATTTACCGAACTTTGGGATTTTCCTATTCTCCTCATTGCTCTTACATTTCGGCGTCTTTACACCCTCCTCCTTACGCGATCCCTTTCGGCTTTTCCCCAAACATTTCCCAATATCTTCGACAGCCTTTAGAGGCGTCTTTGTATCTGATTTTTCATCTGTGGCTTTTGAAGTGAAAGATAGCGAGGCTCGGCGCGAGGATCTGCGAAGAGGAGGTTGGGAAGGTAAAAGGGATTGAGGGGTTTGAGGGGAGAACGAAATTGGAGGAGGAGAGGATTGTAATTTGAGATTATTGGGGGATTTTTTGGGCTTTCTGGGGGATAGTTGTTTCTTTGGGGTTTCAGCTGCCATAGATGCTTTTACGGACGGTGAAAATGGTGGGATTTTCGCTAGGGTTTTGCTGAGAATAGATGGGGAAGGAGGAGGGTGTTTTAGAGAGAGAATTGGCGGGAAATGTTCCCTCGGTTTTTTACGCCTTTTGAACGTTGAAACGGTGCGTAGTGGCTGCCGCGTTTTGCTCCGGAGAATGCCGCAGGGTTTTTTTTTTTTTTTTTTTTTTTTAAGGAAACACATGAAAGTCATGCACCTTAATTGGACAATGTAGAAGGATGCTTCCAGTGTAAAATAATTTCTATTTTTTTTTTTTTTACTTTTTTAATCTTTTGAAATATATTCAAACTATAAAACTAATATAATTTAAGTTTACATTTAATGCACTCGCTGTCAATAATTAAGTTATGCCTTCCATAGATTTGAATAAAAAAGGTTGGGGCATTTGTTCCCTCTATTCTTTAAAATATATTTTGCTAAATTTTAATTCTGAAAAACAATATAATTTCTAAAAAATGAGATATCCAAGATTTTTTACTATTTTTAAAACATCTCATATTTTAATTCACTCGTTTAATATATTTCTTATTATATTTTCTAAATATTTCCTAACAAAAATGTTATGATTTGACTTTCAAAACATTAAAAGCTTGTGATTTAAGATAAATTTTTGGGAAAACCATTTCACTGGTTGTAGCATTGCGGCATCCCATATTTCACCATTAATTTGCAGTTGGATTGAACGTGCTATTCGCTGAATGACAATTATTCAAAGTTGCCTAAAAATTCCTAATTCATTAGCGAAAATAAAACTGCGGTCGTGGTGTTGGGAGGCCCGAATGACACGAACTATTACCTATTATGTAACAGATCAGAGAAAAATAAATTAAAGTGTAAAATTACTCTTTTAAGTCTCAAAAAATTTATTCTTCAATCTAGTTTAAATGTTTATAGTTAGTGAAGCTCCAATCACTCTCTTGTTATGCCTAATAAAATCTGTCTACCAGAACTTGCCATTCCATGAGATTATTGCTGCTACTAGCCTGCCATATTTTTCATGCTTTTAATAGCCATAGAAGGAAGGCTTTCCAACTTGGAATCTCCATCTTATGGCTGGATGTGTGGCTACTAATATGACAATCACTTATTTTCTTGCTTTTAGATACTTGCAATCTTTCATATTAATTCACTTTATGCTTTAGAAGGTTTTAAGAATCTGTGCTCCTTCCAAAAAAAGTTAATGTCTTATACAATACTTAAACTATAATAAAATATTTAATATAATTCTTAAATTTTAAAAATTTATCTTAATTATAAACTTTTTTAACTATTGTGATATATACGGTTAACATAATTAATAAATTATTTTTTAAATATTATATTAATTAATATTTTCACGATTTAAATATCATATTTTTAAAATTCTTGAACATATTAAATATTTTTCATACCTACCACACCATCCTCCAGCCAGCCAACAATTGTTGCAGGCAGATCACATGGCATTTCCAAGAATCTTTAAGGTACCAAACCTCCAATCAATGAGTCGCCCGTACACTGCATGCATTAAACTCAAGATTTTGGTCCAAAGTAATCTGACAGAACCTGCTCAAGATTTCACTATTCGAACAGATCAGTTCAGAAATGATTACCAAGTATCGAGCCCATTCCGATCAACCTTGACATTTGATTTGAAATAGACAATAAGAAGCAGACATCTTCCGTAGGTTAAAAAGATAAGGGTTTTAAATGTGTATCATACCACTACCAGCTGTCGCATTCTTTCTTAAAGAAACATATCTAAAATGGTGAATAACTATAGCAACAAAGCTCACTCTCACAAATAACAACACCCTCCACCACAATCTCTTGATCACAGTTTAACTATGCATATATGAACTTTCAACCTATCTCTTTCAAGGTGTATTTCCCAAAACAAGTGCTTACCAAGAGTTGCTTTTAAGATTTTGTTTATATAAGATTTACAACAATATCTGGATGCAATATCTGTGTGTATTCAGCACTGCATTCAGACTCATGGGAAGCTGAGGGTCTCTCTTATTGCTGCCATACAACTAACCAGCCTTGTTGGAGGCAAAAGGATTAGACGTCCTCCCATAACTTCTTTGAACAAAGCTCTAGAGTAGATTGAAAAAAATCCCATCTATGTTTAAGAAGAAGAATATCTGTTCATGTAGTTAATGCTACTTTTCCTTCACTTAGATCAAGATTTGATCTTGTTCTTGTTGCAGCCCTGCCTGAAAACCACTCAAGGAAAGTTGAATCTGTTAGTTTCATGATGAACCTGATGAGGATATAGTAATCCACTCTGTTATATGTACTAAAAGCAGGATTAGCTGAATATTTTATCAGTATTAAAAGTTTTCACAGTGAAACCAGATTGGGGAATTTAGCCTTGAAAAAAACATGTTTGCGTCTCCAAAAATTAAGGTTGTTTGCCTTTCAAATGTACCTAGTTTACATCTAAAAGATGATAAAAAACAGCACATAAACAGCATTATTTATATTAAGTACGAAACAATTATGATTTGCAAAAATATGAAGTGGGAAAATATTATACCATTGGCTCAAAAATAAATAATAAAATAAAGATTTGACAATATTTTCTAATGAAATTATAATGGAAGAATGCAACAAGTCTTTAAGTTCAGTCCTTACAAGAAACCAGTAAACTTTAGATGACGTTCGTTTTTTATTTCTTTGTAGGCTAGGCATGCTATCTAAAAGCAGAGGTGATAAAATAGCGCAAGGATATGAGCAAATGCATTACATATTATACTGGCAGCTACCACTGTGCCATCGGACCATGGTCAAACAAGTACACAGCTATGCATTGTAGGAACAGCCATGTGAAAACATGAATAGAGATTGATTGTGCACAAAAGTAATTTAGAAACCTATGTTGATAAATCATTTAGTTAAGCATAACCATACAAATCATCACCTTCTGGAATGATAAGATAAATTGCACTGACCTTCATCCTTTTCCAATTTTCTTCTGCTTCGCCAAAGAAGTCGAATAGGAGTACCAACAAATCCAGCATCTGATCGAAGTTGCTTCTCCATGTAACGCCGGTAGGTCTCCGGAAATAGTTTTGCATCATTAACAAAGAAAACAAATGTAGGCGGCCTAATAGCTGCCTGCAAAAGTAGATATCATTGGATATAAAATGCCACCAGAAACCACATTGGACAAGTTAAAGATTAAGATCTGCAGAAGAAAAGAACATGCTCCATCAAGAAAGGTCAAGTACATGAAATGAAGTCCTGGGCTCAGAAAGTGTCACTAGGATGTGCTTTGGGTGATTAATTGTTATGCACCAAACAAAAAGAGTAATTCAGCAAGTGCATCTCCATCTATGTACCTTTCTTGTATTTAATTTTTTAAATAAATAAGAACTAGAATTTGGCAGGGAAGTACATTATTAAAAGACCACTTCCACAATAGTAGTGTACAAATGATGATACCACTCATATATTAAGCTAATTATTGTGATACACAAACGGGTGTAGTCCTTGCAAACCACTGATATCAGCCAAAACAACACTAAGCTCCTTTCCAAGAGTGAAGATTTAAGTCTCTTGAAACTTTAAAAGGTGCATTGCACAAACAAGTAATAATGTATCTCATATGCTGGGTACTCCCTAGCTTAGAAATGGGCTAAATATTTATACTTATAGCTGCTAGAAGTTGGTTTCAAACAACTTGACAACAGAAAATCCCATGGCATTATGGTTAAAGGAATAGTTTAGACGTAGACTGAAAAAAGTAGTTTCAGTTGTTGGCATCAAGAAGAATGCCTCGCAAAGTGGAAGTTTCTGGTGAGGAATGGTGGCAGAAAAAGAGAAGATTAAGGAAACGGAATTGGTTTATAGATGATGCAGCTAGCTGAAGAAGAAATTAAAACTATAAAGAAAAAAAAAGAAAAGAAAAGAATGAACTGCAAAACAGCTAAATTTTGTGAGGAAGGTGAATCTGTTTTTATAAACATATACAGATAACGAAACAATCCCAAATATAGCACCATGATATTGATTATTTTGCCAAGTAACAAAAATACCTGTGTGCAATAATAAACGCGTCCTCTCCTGCCACCTCGTGTCCTAGGAGGGGGTTTAAACGCTATTGCTTCCCGTACCACTTGATTCAATATTGCAGTACTAAGTCTTCTCAATCGCTCTTTCTCAACTGTACTGGCTGCAACAATTATTCTGAATCCAAAACAAAAATGAATGCAAAAGAGAGGTAAGACAAGTTACACAAGCATTGAAAATATACTGGGGATACTAGGGCCATGTATGGTATACCAAACACCAGAAAATATAGCATAAAAAGAATGAGGAGAGAAAAGGAAAGTAGGAAACCATCCTGTCTATCATTTGGTATCTACAGGACAATATGATAATGGTTATTATTATAATCTTAGAACATCTTAAAAGGTAAAGGATCATATGATCATGAATTCAGTTGTAACAATAAAATGACAAGATATGGCAGGTCAAACACATACTTTTCAACACTCTGACCAGCTATTGCAGTTGAATAAACAATTGGGGCCCAATCAAGCATGCGCATTTTCTCCCTAACATCTTGCTCGTAGTATGTTGCAGTTTGCTGGTTTTTATTTGGTATTGTGTCCCATTTGTTTACAACAATCAGACAAGCCTTTCCTTCTTTCTCTATCCTCTCAGCAATTCTATTATCCTAGGACATCAATACAAAACAACACATAACAGTTAAGGAAATAATCAAAAGGAAAACTAAGGACAAACAACTCTTCAGATTAACAGGCCAAGACACAGCCATTGTTATATTACAGAAATATCAGTAAGATAATATTAAAAAAAATAGCTCAAAGTTTGGTTACCGGTAAAGTTTACTTAGTTACTGAACTTACTAAGTCATATACTATCTTCAATCAACTAAAAAGTGAACAATTCAATTTATTTACAGAAAGGTTTTAAGATAAACAATGGAAAAAGCATCCAAAAAGGGGGCAAGATTTTCAATCCACAGCCCCATGTGCTGTATTTTTCTTTTTTTTTTTCTTCTGTAAACCTTCGGCAAGAATCCATCACCCTTGAGAAAGATCAAAAGCAAATATCAATCTTTAAATTGAGCTAGCTAGGATAGTATTCCAGATATGGAGGGAGTAACCAGGAATCTCTTATCCTGGTCGTACCAAAAAGAGAACACACACAGATCACACATATAGAAAAACAGAGTTTATTCCATGATCTTCCTAGGACCATTTGCTGAAAATTGAGAACCTGCAATAGCAAACTGGTGGCAACATCCCATTTGCACCAAGGATTCATGGGATACAAATCACTATACACTTTTTACCACGCAGTTTCGATTTCAAAAAGAAAAGTAATGGTAGCAACAACATCAACAAGAATATTCTTTTTAGTACATATATAGCTGACTTGTTATTTCCACTTTCTTCTAAGTAAAAGTTGTAGATTATCAGACCAATTTGATCTTGCTTATACATGAACCATTTACTGAGTAAATCAAAGCTCATGCATCCTATTATTGCTTTGATTTAGCAATCATTATCATTAAACGGATAGACATAGATTTTTCCAAGAATTTGATAAGATCTCTACAATGTTGATTAGATCCTCAATATCAAACTGTTATATCTAAATGAACTCGTATAACTTGATTTACTTGAACACTAAATAATCTGTCATGGTATTTCCATTCTGTTTTCAGGCACTACTTAACATTGTGCAATATGGCTAGCACTATATACCGATCAGGGAAGACATTTCAAGCATGTTAAAACCATAATATTAGTAACATGGCTTGTAAGGAAATCATTGACAAAGTACCTGTTCAGTTATGCAAGCCATTGCCTCAATGACCAGAGCAACGACATCAGAACGACGGATGGCACGAAATGCTCTGTTCACCGATAAAGACTCTATGGTAGTACCTGATGAAGCTATGGACGCCCTTCTTCTGATTCCAGCAGTATCAATAAGCCGGAACTTCTGCAAAATGAGTGCCCCAGTATGAAGCTTCTAAAAACAACTGGAATACAGAAGCAAACAACACTCAGGATAACATTATGTTTTCTTTTCTCATTCTTTATCACTGATCCTTTCAAGCGTAAAAAGTTTGATCTCCAACTCAAGGAAGCAGAACCAAGACAAATAGACTAGCTGCTGTAATACTGGTATCTGAACTATAGAAACCTGGCCATCAGGTCCAATAAATTCTGTATCAATTGCATCACGAGTGGTGCCACTGATAGGGCTCACAATTGTTCTATCCTCCCCAAGCAAAGCATTTAAAATGCTACTTTTACCAACATTTGGTCGACCAACAATTGCAATTGAGGGCACATAATTTTCTTCCTCATCCATATTTTCTACATCCTGCAATTAATCAAGAAGCCATATACTTAGCAGAGAAAGAAAATAAGTTTATTATTAAGAAAAAAAATTAAGATGGAATTCATCAAAGATGCAAAATGCCAGAAAATTTTTAAAACATAAATAAGGACAGTTTCACAAGGGAAACAGAAAAGTTGAGGACAGCAAATGAAACGAAATTGTTAAAAAAGACAAACAATAAAGCCAAATTACCTCAACCTTTTTCAGCCCTGAACAAACAAGATCAAGAAGCTCCCCAGTTCCAGTCCCCGATAAAGCAGAAATAGGAATGGGAGAGAACCTGGTTGTGCAGTTGAAAGAGTTAATCCAAAGTTAAGCAGAAGGGAAAGAAAAGAACAACTTTCCTAGGACCACCAAATTACAAAAAGATAACTTGAAATTACAAACATCTCCAGATAAAAGGCACAAGTCACAAGCATACTGTTTTTCTTCAGTGGCAAAAGAAGAAGAAGAAAAGAAAAAAGGAAAACTGGAAGTGGAAAGAGGTTGGCAAGAGAGAGAGTTAGTCCAATAACTTCAGAGCAAGTTTTGATGCCATTCCAAACCATAAGCTACATTATCAATAACTCGAGGCATTGCCAATAAGCATTGAGTACTGAAAACCAAAGATTTTCAGAGAAACAAAAATTAAGAATTACCCCAATGACCAAAACTCTAACGCTTGCATGATTCCTTTACGAGGAGATTCACACTTGTTCACTGCAAGGACAATATATTTACTTGAGTAGCTCTTTCGAAGCCATTCTGCAATCTCCATATCAGCTGCTGTTAGACCAGCCTGTTCAGTATCATACAAACAATCACTTGGCAAGTTGATAACTCTTCAAAAGAAACAGAAGAATATATTGTTGGGTTTCATATAACCAAATGAGATTGCCACCAAGATAAAGAACTGGCAAAGTAGACAATCAAACCCCCAAAGAATTATGCAGATTATCCCAGGGACAAGTCTCACCTTATCCTGTCAACAAAAATCTCATCCTTCACAACTTCAAACCAGATTCTTAAAGCACCAAGAACTGGTTGAGAGAGAATAGGAATTTTTCAATGTTAGTAACGTGCAAACTTTCCTTCCACTTCAATATCTCACACCTTGATGATGCACAAGTTTTCCCCTTCTAAGAGCGTCTAATCCTAAGGTATACACCAGCCAACTCTCAAGACTGATTCCTTCATAGCTTCTTTAAAATTTTCATTCAAGATGTTCTTTTGTTTTTGCTATATAAATATATATATATATATATATATATATATATATATATAAACAAAGTAGTCAAAGGCACTCATGTCAGTTGTTTGCCTAGGTCAGAAGAGATGGAGCAATCAAGTAACCGTTTACAATTATTTGGCAAGGAAAAATTAAGCAATAATGCCTTTGTTAATCATCCAATTAAAACCAATTGGCAATTAGTAGTAAGCCCAACTTGAATACAGGGCTAGGAAAAACTCTAAACTGATATGGAAAAACAATACTTAACAAACTTTAAATCCCCAAGGAAGAGGGTCTTCAACAACTCAGTTGCCTTTAGGGTGCATTTGGATGGGAATTTTTGAAATTTTGAAGAATTTTGAAATGCTATAAATTTGAAATGCATCAATTCAAAATAACAAAATTTGTAATTGCATTGTTAGCATAATTATATTTTAGAAAGGAATTGTAAATATTGGAATTTGATGAGAAAAAAAATAATTATAATAGATAACTAATGATATTAGAGATAAGAAAGAGCAAAGTACTAAAAATATATATGTAATATGAGTGTCATTAGATTTGTAAAAATGTGCAGACATTACTAGCAATATAAAAATTAAGAAAATAAATTTTATACTGAGATTTTGTAGTTAAAATTGGAAAAAAAAAAAAACAAAACAAAAGTTGCATAAAAAGAAAACATAGTAAACGTTGATTTCTTAACATAAAAACAAGGAATTTGAATAGAGAATTTGTGCTATCCAAAATCCCTCATTCAAATTCCAAAATTTTTGACAATTCCAATTTTTATTTTGCCAAACAAAATAATTCTATTTAAAATTTTAAAAGTCTCTCTACAAATGAATCCCTACTTGAAATGCCTCATCCAAACGCACTCAAGGCAGCACTTGATGCAACTTAAATGTTTATTCTTTGTCATGTTTACTTTTAAAAATCTGTAAATTAATTATTTATAGTCACTCAATTACTATAAACCTAGAATTTTCATTCAATGATTATTGCATTTATTTCTTTATTAGATTGCACTTTTTAATAAATTTAAGAATAAAATATTATTATTTCTTTTCCTATTCAACGTAAATAAGATCCTAAATCTTTTTTTTTTTTTATAAATCCTAAATCATTCAAATTTCAAATGAGAAACATGATTCAAATGTGCTAGATCATTTAGCTTGACTTCTTTTGTTAATTTGTGTCAAAGTTTCAAAATAAAACAAAGATACAACCAATGCAAGAAGGAAGTATACCTGCCCATCTACAAGGAATATAATAACAGATGCTTCTTCAACAGCTGCAGTAGCTTGTCGTTCAATCATAGAAGGCATCCTTGCAACAGCTGCCTCTCTGGAAAGTAATGAGATGCCATCCATACCAACAGTTGTTGTAATAGCTAAGTCTTCCATGACTTTAGCCTGTGACTTTGACACATTTAGAACCCCTCCAGTATCAACCACCACAAATTCATGATCTCCCCAGAAGGATCTACCATACAAACGATCCCGGGTAACCCCAGGTTCATCCACCACAATGGCCCTGTTGCCCTGTAACAAATTTCATGAAAAAGTTTGACATTGTTGACAATCTAAAAACATACATCTAGCTACATGTAGTCAATCATTTGGTTACTAGATGTTCAAAATAAAATTGGAATTATGCATAAGAATTAAAGAAAAAATTAGTGATCAAATACCCCCACAAGGCGATTAAATAATGCTGATTTACCAACATTTGGCCTTCCAACTATTGTAACCCTTGGAAGAAGATGGTCAGGGATCTGCAAAAGGATTTTAAAATTGTCACTAAGTAGCGAAGAAATTTTTATATCTTTATAAGAGAGTCCCTAGTTTACATCATAAAATATATTAATTCCACTATATCACAGTAATCATTGGTTCAAAAAGTTATTTGCAAATTTAGCAGACATTTCAGAAATGAAACATAAGTTCATATGCCTACACTCTCAACTTTTCAATATGTTTCCATCATACATTGTTCCAATATTTCAAAATATAGAGGCACAGCATCATATGGCACTCAAGAACATGAAACTGGAATAAGGCACTTAGATGATATAGAGCAGCTTAGAACACCCATGAAATATCTTGGCTTGTGAAAACAAGTAAAAACAACATACTAATAGAACATCATGCTTGGCAGTAACTATGTTAAACCAGAAACAAATCAATAGAACTCTAGCACCAGTATTAGCCTTAAGCCCTTGACAATATGTACAGCATCATTAAATATAATTCCGACCTAGAACATAAATTTTGCGAGGCTGTCGATTTTTTTCTCTTAAGCAGTGAATTTCCAAAAGCTTTAAAACAATCCACTAATTAGAAATGAAGAAGCAATCCAAGGTGACAAAATGGAATGAAAAAAGAAAATGAAGCGCAGATAATTAATTCACTCTTGCAAGTCACAACCATGTATATGGTTTTATAGTCAGCAGCTGCAATAGTTTTCAAGTCACCCCTTTAAGAAACAAGGAAAGCTATTTAGATTGGTTATTAGATTAATTAAGTGACAACAATAACTTGAAAAAATATGTTTTACTTACAATTTTAGTTGCACTTTTACGTCTCTTCTGCTTTCCACTCAACCTCTTAAGATCATCTGTCTCGTCCTCTGAGACAACGAGCCTCAGTAAATAATGTTATTACATTTTGCTTAAGTACGACCAAAACAAAAACTCGTATCCAAATCAAGGAACAAGATAAGAGATAACCAATTTAGGCACCATTTTTGCTGTCAAAAAGGGAATTTGTATAGAGAAAGCAACAATATTTTTGAAATTTTAAAAATATGAATAATTTTTGGGGAAGAAAATGCTAGATTTTAATTTTACTTAGAACAATTTAAAAAAATATTAGTGTTCCATCCATGTTAGTTATTCATTCATTTCTAATCAATTATGGTTTTATTTTTTTTAAACTCTACCATTTGCTTTTAGTTTTTTATAACAAGTAGCAAAATTGATCAGAATAAAAAGCTGATAAAGATAAAAACTTTTCTACCCAAGAGGATGCAACTTGAGGAAATTAAATTTAAATTATTCAGATAGAATTTAGTTGTTACTTTTTCTACTTGTTTTTATTAAAAAATTTTAAAAATAAAAAAAAAATTGAATAAAAAAAAAGTCGAACATACTTATGTAGGAACACTTGTTATAATTTAACTATTGATTTATTTTTAATCAAACATAAAACCTTATTTTAAGCAACTTCTGGAAATTTAAAAAAAAAAAAAAGCAAATGAGAAAGAATAAATAAGAGCAAAAAGAAAGGAGTAATGAGAGGAAATTACCAATGGTTAATTGGCGAGACAAGGAAGAGGAATAGCGGCGAACGGCTTCCTTTGCTTCGGATTCAAGGGCGTCCACGTCCAAGACAAAATCCTCATAAGATTCTTCTTCTTCTTCTTCTTCTTCGTCCAGAAAATCTTGGAATTCGTCTTGGTGAGGAGGTGGAGAAGGGGAGGACGTGCAGCGGCAGAGATGGAGGGAAGGGAGGGTGGGAACGGGGAGAAGCAATGGAGGAGAGATATTTGAGCGAATCGAGTGAAGAGGAAGAGGAAGAGAATAGAATATGGGGCTGGCAGAAGGAAGAGTGAGGGATTTACCAAAGAGGAGCTGGGTAACAGCAAAGCATGACATTTTTCCTTCTTTCAAGCTGTTGAGTGTTGAGAGTGGGAAAAAAAAAAAATCGCAATGTGAGGTTTGGCAGTTAACTTAAGAGGCGCTGAGAGAGGTTTATCCTCTTTCCTGCTAGTCTGGGACTTGGGACTGGGGCGGTTTTAGTTTTCAATTAGGTGCGGTTTCGCCTATGGTGCGTTAAAATGCTCCTGGATGATGTGTCATTAGATAAGAGAAAAAATATAGAGAAAATCAAGCTTCATTCAGGATTGTATCGGTTTTTACGTGATTCAGTTTAAATTTAGATACTAAATATTTATATTAGGTTTGAAAATATTTTTAAATAAAAAGTTAAAAATATTATAATTGAATTAAATATTAAATTTCATTAATTTTATCTATTTTAAAATTTTATAAATAAAAAATATTAACTTTATAAGTGAGATAGTGATCCAAGAGACGATGAATTAGATTTTTTTAAATTCTTCTTAAATAATGATTTTAAAATAATTAAATGAAAAATTCAAACAATAAATACTTTTAATAAAAATATAATGCAAGTAATAACAATTAATGAATTTAGAATCTAACATAAACAAAATATATGTAAAAGATAGGGATAGAGAAATTGAACATAATGATATATAGAGGTTCAGTTTTGCCACAAGGCAGCTCTTTTCTTGGTTGTTCATATCAAGACTTCAATCTATTAATCTTGAATTGAAAATATAATCATATCTTTTTCTCTAAGGCTAAAGATAGAAACATTATACTCTCTACTTTTTAGGTTAAATAAAAACCTCTTAATCTTATAAATTTAAGATGATACCTCATTTTTTAATTACAAAATCACTTAATAAAAATGCAAACTTAGAACACATCTTCAAAGGTTAAGTGTTTGCCTAATGAAGTACAAAAAAATTTGATGAATGAATAACAATATAGCTTCGATACAATAAATACAAAAGATATAAATTTTAAATGCTAACAACTCTTGATTCTTTGAGAGAATGAAAATATAGCTTGTTAGATTTTATTCTCTTGATTCATCAATTTTTTTGATGTGTTGGAGTGCCCAATTTATAGAGGAATTGAGGAAATGACCATTAGAAATGCTAGGGAGAAAAAAATAACCTTTGCAACTTGATAAACTAGCCGTTGGAGTTGTTTCAGTGCATATCCCGATCAATCCCTTCCATAAGAGGATCGATTGATTGAAGGGGTGATCGATCCCTTCTTTAACTAGGAGCACAAACATGTTGAGTAAAAAATCAATCAATCCCTTCCTTGAGCCGATTGATCCTGTCAAAGCGGGATAGTTGTATCTTATTTTACACTTATTAATTTGATCATATCTTGAATTATACAAATTCAAATCAAAAACTGTTTGAAGATTTAGAAATTAAACTTAAAGGGTTTTCTATTCATATAAAATTCATCACATAATTTATTGTACATGAATTACAGTTAATTTTCAAAACTACCTATTGTGTAGTTTTTAAACAACTACAAAATATCTAGTAAAAATTCAAAATCTTTTCTTAAAAAATTTAGATTTGAATTTTGTTTGATCTATTATAAAGTAGACACAAAGAGCTTTCCAACCATATAAAATTCAACTATTAAAGTTTTATGAATTAATACAAAAAATAAAACAAGTTTAATGTTAAAAAACTTTGTTCTTGTAAAACAACTTTCTTAAGTTAATCTATTCTCAAAACTAATATTATCAAAATTATATTAAGTCCAAAATGAATAAATTCACTTTAAAAATAACAATTGAACTTTCATTTAAGCTCAAATAAATAACGTTTAAAAATAGTTTTGATTTGAGAAATAAGAAAATATAAAGAAAGTTTTGTTCAAATTTTGAAAATCATATTATTTATTTAGTACCAAAATATAGAACTTAAGAACATGTATTAAATAAATCTTTTTCAAAATCTTGATCAAGCTTATTTAGCTTAATGTTTTGTCATTTCAATATAAGGATCAATTCAAGACTAACAATCTCCCCTTTTTGATATGACAAAATTTAAAGATAAATTTGCTTGATAAAAAAAATTCTTTAAGACATTTAAGATTTTGAAAAATATTTGAAAAACTTCCCCTTAAACAATGTATGGCAAAACTCCCCCTCAATTAATACATCCTAATCCAACATAACTCAACAAATATATGTTAGTCAAATATATTAAATAAGCACAATCAAACATATGCATGTCAAGCGTAAGCAAATTTGTGCAAATGATATTTCTCCCTTTTTTTGTCATAGCAAAAAGGCATGGGCATATTAATAAGCAAATAAACACAAAAGACATCATTAACAAATATATTCATGAAACATTTCTTCTCCTTTTTGTTTATGCTCTTTTATACCAAATGTTTAAACTCATATATCAATTGCCATAAGCATACAAGAAGAAATATCTCTAAACTCTCTCCCCCATTTTGTCATCTTAAAAGAAAGAAAGATCAATTCAAGGTATGGGACAAAATGCTTGATACCAATAATATCAAAAGTATTTTAAATACATGTAATCAAGTATAATATGCACAATAAAGTTTAAATATATGTATTCAAACACAAAGCATAACTGTATCCAATTTTAGCATTTTAGCATAAGTTATCAAATTCACTACATGAAATTTATGAGCAAAGGATAATGAATAATATGCAATCTACTCATAAATCATGTTAGGATAAAATGTGCTTAGAACCTAAAATATCAATAGCAATTAAGTATAAATTCAAGCACATACATATAAGCTCATACCAATTGTTAAAGATATGTTATCATAAAGCATACCAATTGTTATTACAAAACAAATCAAACAAAATTGTATTCTAAAATTTCTTCTCATTTTCAAAATAAGGATTAATCAATTTAAAGTGCACATAAATTTGCATTAAAGGTACAAGTTATATCAATGATAAGCACACAAAAAAGTATCCATGAAAGTTAAAAAATTCTTTAGCAATTTTGATACCAATTGTTAGCAATTTTATTCAACAACTTTCATAGAGCACACATTCTTCAAGCATATAAAAGATTCATTCAATACATGCATAAATGATAATAGTAATATTTCATAAGCTATCATATCCAAACAAAAACCAAAAGCTCATATGAATTTAATAAAGCATGAATACTAATGAGCAATAAAGTTCAATTATCATCATATCATAACAAAGATTATGCAAGCATTTTTCAAATATGATGAACACATAAGCTATAACAAAAAAATAATAAAAGTATAATTATCCAAATATATTTCAAATTATTTCAATGTATAGCAATGAACTTAATCTAAACATATGCAAGTATCTAAATATATATTTCAATCAAAATCATACAAGCATATGCAAAAATATTTCAAATCACATAGCAATATACCAATAAAGATACAAACATTTAGACATAATATGGTATATGCTATTTCAATATTCTTAATCAATAAACATGTTCAAAGAAATCAATTAATTTAACTCATATCCATGTTCAAGAATTCATGCATTGACCAAATATTTATGCATTATAACTTTTAATCAAAGCAATCAAGAATTAGGCATGAATATTAATGAAGGTGAATTAATCAATCCAAGCTTTAAAAAGTATTAAGACAATTTTTATCAAATAGCTTAGTGACTAATTTATACAATGTGTTCATATGTTCAACCACAAAATCATATATTTGCACATATCAAAGCAAACATGTATATATATCCAAACTCATATATCATATCATAAAGCTGATACATTTACCTCTATCCATGCCAAGCTTATTGTTGTACTGATTTGGCTTTGAATTCTTCAATCCACTTCATTTGAGCAAAACTAGGCTTAATTGATGAGGATGACATGTTTTGCTTACTATACTTAAAATTCCAAAAATGTTAGTTTGTTCATGCTCATTTCAAGTTCTCCTAGTATAAACTTAAAAAAAATTCTTGACAAAGGATTTTCATTAAAAGCATCAAAAAAATCAATTGATAAAAATTATACCAATTGTTAGAAAAAAATTCCATATTCTAAGTCATTATAGGTAAAAGAAAATTTATTTACTAAGCATAAGTTGCTAATTGCAAAAGAGATATACACTTAAGCTAGAGGTCATATATCAATTTAAACATCAAATAGCACAAGAATGGCACTAAAGTAAAAGTTCTCATGTAATGTTTATGCTAATTGCAATGGAGATATATACTTAAGCTAGAGGTCATATATCAATTTAAACATCAAATAGCACAAGAATGACACTAAAATAAAAGTTCTCATGTAATGTGTAAAAATCAAACTTTTTAGAACATTCATGAAACAAATAACTATTCAATATTCTATATATTAAAAAATCACCAAAATAGAAAAAATAAAGTTTAGGCCATATGAAACACTAAAAATCACAGGAAGGATATTTATCATAAAAAATATTTAAGAAAATTTTAGCACAAAAGCATAAATATGTCTATACAAATTATAGGTCATAATCAACAATGACTTAAGCTAAAAATAAGCATCATAAAAAAATCATTTACTTAAGTCATGTTGTAACCATGTCAAGCCAAGAAAATCATATTTATCATATATGCACACACTTGACAAAAATAAATGAACTAACAACACATATCATTAAACATAATTAGTTCATCAAAACTTAATCCCAAACCAAAAGATAAGTGAATTAAAACAAGTTTCAAAATATTTCACAAAATTAATGAATCAATTTAGCACAGGAGCAAGTATATTTAAAAATATTTTTAAAATAAAAAAAAAATTAAGTATTTTCAAATCATAAGCATTAAGGTCAAGTTGAATTAATGATCATATGAGCACATATCTTGACCAAAACCATAGATGAACAATGAATCAATATATATCACTTCAGCACTAGATGTTCATCAATTTACAAATCAAGAGTTATAACAATTTAGAATATAACAATCATGTTTAAAAAAATATTTCATAAGATCCAAGCATTATAAACAAGTTAAGAAATTTTAAACAACATGGTCATATAGGCATTTTAAATAATCACAAATCAATGTATACCATATAAAGTGCATAAAGAAAAATATGAAACATATTCATCAAGCTAAAATCATTCAAACAAATATATTTATGCAAAAATACAATAAGATAATCCATTCAAAGCTTAATATGTCTAGGATTTTGATTTTTGCACTTT